CATCAACTCATTTGCCACAAACATTACATCCAGAAGCAAATCAATGAAGTCATCAAGATCATTGGTCTGGACATCATCAAACAGCCGTTCTTCTGTATCGGCATACAGGTAACGCAGGACAAATTCAAATGTAGAGCGATCAATGTGCTTTAGGTCGACATGCACACCCTGGTTTGAGTCCGCTTTACGTGCATCTAGCCACCTCCCACCCGCATAGCCGTGGAATAGAGTGTCAAAGAACGGACATCTCTGGCACACGACTTGGCTGTGCACTTTGATTGTATCGCCTTTGAGCTCCACAATCACGTCTGCGCTGTCAAATAAGGATGAGCGGTTGATGGCATGAGCCATATCCGTTTTCAGACTTCTTTGAGGCTCAACCATTAGTCGTGCTGCCCGCTCCAGCGCCGGCAGGCCGAGTTGCGTAGAAACCCGCATAACCTCAGTACGAACCTGCCGGAAACGAGCCGAGTTTGCAGGCGAGCTCCTTGCTAGGCGCCAAACATCGAGAATGCCGTCTGTGTAAAGGAAAAATGCCACATTCATAACAGTCAAGAAATCAACACCTTGGAGGCAGATCTGGGGATGTCCGTCCTTCCCGTATTCAATTTCAAAGATGTCTGGGACGGACGAATAATATGATTGCCGGAATTCGGCCAATGCCTTTCCCAAAACTGGAATACGGCCAGCTATAAGGAACTCATGCACAGGAATGCAAGACTCAGATAGGGAGCTGGTCACCCAAACAGTCCCCTCGGTCCATACAGAAAGAAATTGGTTTTCAATATCTGATGATGAAAGTATGGCTCTTTGGATACTTTTCCCGGAGGAAAGTACAAGAGGGATATTTTGAGCATCATCATCGAGGATAAATCCTAACTCTTCCAGACCTGGCATTGTAAATGGGGACAACGGCAGTATATCATCCCAAAGGCTGCTTTGCTCGACATGGATTTGTTCTCTGGTCACTTCACAGTCACGTTGAGCGACAGCGTAGGCCCCGAAAGCATTGCTACGCACTGCCACTGCTCGTGAGAGACCAGGTATGCGGGCAAACTTGTAATCTTTTGAGGCTCCCTCTTTGTTCTTTGTCCGCCGTTCTTTTCTCCATGTAGATCCAGATGTTGTACAGATGATGATCGAACCGTCTTGTCCAACATCAACATCGCTTGCTGCCATGTATGATTTCTTAACAGACCATGCTCGAACGGGAGTGGCTAACGAATTCCGAATCTTTGCAGGATTGGTTGTGGACGTTAAAGCCGAAATATTATCGGACTGGTTGGCTTGAACAGTGAACACATCACCAGAGCTGGATAATGCACATATAGTATTACCTCCACATACAATCTTGACGACACGATTCGCAGTCTTGTCGTATCGGGTTACCATGAAGCTATCCCTGATAAATCTCGAGCTGACCTCCAGTGGGAATGAAAGCTTTGAATAACCATATGACGAGAAAACCCAGACTTCGTGGTTCTGCAGAAGCACAGACGTAGCACGGTCAATGGCAGCTACCATCTTGATTGGACAATTGAAAAGTGATGCTCCAACGCGTCGAGGTGTCGTTTGTACCTCAAGCGAACGAGCATCAGAATCAACCAATCCAAGCTGACCTTCGTTCTTGCCAAACGTATAGAGGCCTGAGGTACTGAAGACCACCGAGTGGATAGATGACGCTGCTGCACCTATGATCGTTTCTTTCTTGAACGGGTTGAAGATCTGGCGAGGAGTCGTCTGGATGGGAATATCATTTTTGTTGCTGGTCCTCGGCAGGCCATAGCCAAGTTGTCCGAACTTGTTGCTTCCCCAGCTGAAAATCTCACCCTGCTCGGTAATTGCCAGGCTATGATCTTGACCCAGAGCAGCCGATACAACTTTCTTCCCCTCCAGTCCACCCGTTTCAATACAAACAAACGTGAAACGCGTCGACTCATCTCCTGTTCCGAGGCGCCCTCCAGGTCCAAATCCACACATGAACAGATTAGCCTCGGGATCATCTGTGATGATGGCAGTATGTAGTTTAGACATGATAATGTCTTGGAACTTCATTGGCTTGTTTGTGATCAAAGTGGGCAACTCGGCAGATTTGCTCTTGGGGACGCTATCCTCAAGCCCTAGATGTTCCAATTTCTCTTGGTATTCACGATAAAATCGATGCAAAAGATGCTCGGGGCGCTTCAACACGATTCGCTCAGGAAATTGTCTGTCATCCTGGTCCCCTAGACCAAGATTCAGGTTTTTGTTGCTTCCTAGTGTGAAAACTTCATCGGCGGAAATATCCACAGCCCCTTTCAGGACATTCCTAAGAGCATATATCCCATCTTCGTCATCTCCAAAGTTCGAGGCAGCAGTATTGGAACCAGCATCGCTTCCCAGGGCATCGTTATCAAGATCCGGGGTCGGCCAGTTTTCAGAGAGATGCTTAATGTCGCGGGCTCTAATAGTCGCCCCGAAGACATCAAAGGGACTGCAGCCCTCACGGTCCTTGATCTTGATCAAGCCACCACTCGGATGGCTCGTATTTCCACCTTTACTGAAATCTGTCATGTCCTGCACGTCACGCACCATGAGCGCCAGAGCAATTGTGGCGTTCCCGGCGTAAAGAGCCCGATGTAGAGCCGTCCATCCACTCTCCCAATCCTGCGCATAGATATCGACGAACGGAACTTCCAGTAAAGCGCGTGCAAATTTTAAGGCGGTAGGTTTCGAGGACGAAGCGACATGATGCAGCAATGTACGGCCGTAATGATCGCGGGCATTAAGATCGGCGCGCGACAAAGTCGCGCTCCCGCGCGAGAAAGCCACCCGGTCATGTACAGAGGTCCCAGGTGATGACTCAATATTCTTCTTACTTCTCGGTGGATTCGGAGACGAGGCGATCATGGACCCGGGGCTTTCAGCCTTCGATGACAGGTTTGTCGCAGCTCCGGAGGAACCCCCGGAGCCTCCTGCAGCTCGCGGTCCCGCGAACGTCGCGTTCGCCAGAAACCGCTGGAACCGCTCGACGTCATCTTGAATGAAACACTCCCAAAGTCTGTTACTCATGTGCCCGGAGTGGTCGACGCGCCGAATCTCTTATCAGGCCTAGGCTGAGCGTCGCCGTCACCACAGTGGGGCGAACCGCGACGGGGAGCTGGGTGATAAGAGAGCTCCGGTTCAAGGTATATGAATAAGAATTGCCGACGCTATATAGGTCGACGCGATCTCGATCTCGGTATCACGAATTTTCGGAAGTGGATTTGACGCGAAATCGATTGTGGGTTCGGAGTATGCGCGTGTGGCGAAAGTGCTTATTTGGCGGGGAAACTCGAAATTTTTGAAGAGGAACGAGTGTTGTTTGACGGATGGGATGGAAGATATCTCGAGAAGCCCAGGTGGTTGGAAGAAGCAAGATGTCCTGGGGGTCGCACTTGTCAGAAGGCCGGTTTGCCCTCGATGTCATCCGTGGATGGGCCCCACACAGTTGACGATAACGACATGCAGGTCAAAAGCACATACATGTGTGTAGGTATGACTTGGATAATAGAGATTCGAAACTCAATAGACTAAACAAATGCTCCCTCGCTTTATAAACTATTTCATCCAGAGTAGAATGTATCTAAGGATAAGGGGAAAGAAGCCAATGCAGCCATTCATACTATACGTATTATATGCCTACATGGACGTTATCGCGTTCTGTGAAATCCCTCTGACCAATAACGACGCGCACGTCCCTCCATGCCCCCGAGAGGCGAGGATCATTCAGGGCAGAGCCCGTGGGGAACTGATAGGATGCTGCACTCTTATGTACTAACATGTATGTTGTAAGACATTTTCATTTGTCATGTAGAAATTGCTGACATGCAATGTCTTGGTACATGGACCAGATCTACATGATCTTTCGACCAGTTTCCAGGTCCTGAATCACCTTCAGCTGCGTACGTCGCCGGCTCAGCGCCACATTCTCCCCCGCAATCTCAACTGGTCTTCCGTCAGGTCCGCAACAAACTAGGGCAAAAAAAGTCCAAGCAATTTGCATCCAGATGTTATCAATGAACCGCGTAGATGCCACTGCATAGTAGGCCACCAGAATATCATAGATGTAACGAACAGTCCGCTAGGTTTTGCTCATTGGGCTTGTCTTGCCCTTGACGATATCGTACTGCACCTGATGGCTGGTGTAATAGTTCTAGTTTAGTATTCTACCCATAGATCGAACAGATGAGTCAAACATACCTTCCCTTTTGAGCAAGAGCCTCTTGAAATTTGTTGTCCGACGTCATCAGGTTCATGCGCTCGACGCCGGGAACCATCTAGGCCTAGCAACTTCTAATGACCTCAATCTCATCCTCTTCATATGCCATTTGAGCCGCCAATTTCAATGGAGTATCATTATTCTTGTTCTTTGGCTCTGCATCTGTGCCGAGTTGGCAATTGCACCCCAGTTCGCTATGTTCGAAGGATCTTCACTATGCATGCCCTTCGATCAAGTTTCTCTGATCTTTCTGGAATTTAATATGATGTAGCGTTGTTGAGAAGTTGCCAGCATTCTACGTGTATCAGATGTAAGCTTTGCAGCCCAGACCCATGTTCTCCTCGATCTTTTCCATTTCCCTCCAAATATACCTCCGCTTTTTTAAACCAGACTCAGCCCTATCCACCATCGTATCTCACCGCATGTGTCTAATTGTTTGCAGCTCAGGATATTGTGCGTTGAAGGTCAACTATAGATCTTCATGATACTAGGGCATCTACATCATCCCGAAGGGTGGGCTACTAGAATGACGTTTGTTGACAAAATCCGACCCCGGGACTGTCTCTAGCTGTTCAATTATCCATCTACTAGTTCAAATGACTAATTTGTGTTTCTTTCAACCTTTCAATTAATTTCAACTTGATCTATTGATCTATCGAGTATGTGGGTCAGATGAATGAATGCAAAACTTCTTCACATCTTCCATCTTACTAGGCCCCCTGGAAGCCACTGACATGACAATAATCTGCGAACCATTTTTTTAATCTGAATACTCGGGTTTTTCCCACTCCAGAGGGATCATATCCAACATGGGCTTGAATCCTCCTGTGGTACGGTCATCAAAAACCATCTCCTGGTCAATAGTAACCCTCTTTTGGTGAATTTGGACAAACCACCATGTAGCAAGAGCCGCAGCCTGATCCCGAACTGTACGCATGGTTTGCCTAGGTGTATTCCACTTGACTGGCAACGAGATACAGTGGTCCCCCAACCCATGTAGTGGTTGATGGGTCATGGGTGTATGACCAGCTTTACACTTCTGGATTACAAAGAGCATAATCTCTTCATCACTATGGGTACCATTTTTCACCTCTGGTGAGAGTATAACACTGACCCAGCAATAATCCTCCCCGTCGTCAAAAGGATCCGGAATATGGTGCTTGTCGGTTACGAAAGGACTTGCCTGCACACGCATTTTGCCGGTTAGTAGAGTGGATAGAATTGAGGACTAGCTTTCGGCAGGAGGCCTATGTTGATCTGAGAAGGGGTTTATGTAGTAATACCTGATCTGTGTTGTGCTGGTTCTTGAATGGAATAAACAGGGAAAACTAAAAGAACTTTCCCTGCCACAATGGCCTTGTCTATAATAAAGAGACCCGTTCCATTGTATCTAGGTTTAGAGTTATCAATGGCTATGTACTAAATCAGCTGCTGAAAATGGTTCCATTTTCAGCTACTAATTCTACAACTCCTCTAAGATGATTTTCTAACCACAATGACCCCGGGAGATCTCTATCGACAGTCATACACCACTTAAGGGTAAGTAAGAGTGATAAATCTCAGGTCGCCACAACCACAAAGAGTAATCGACGCTTGACAATGAAGATGTGTTCCGGAGGCTACATCTGTATCTGTGCTTGTGCCACCCGAGACCCGAAACCTAGCGCTAGAGGCTCTTGAATGAACTGACGACCTTTAAAGGGTAATTACAATTTTTTGTAAACCTGCATACAGTAAGTAATTATGTACAAAATTTTACTTTTTTTACAAAAAAAAGTATAAAAAGATGAGGCTGACCCGATTTGAACGGATAACCTTGCGAACTGGAGTCGCACGCGCTACCGTTGCGCCACAGCCCCATTTCATGATATTATCTTTTATTAGTGGATATATGAGGGAAACAGTGCTTTACTACACAGCTAATGATCTATCATTGCACCTAGCGATATACTTGCAAATTGCCCAACGGATGAATCTCAAAGCGAATCTAGTGGGGAAGGGCTACAGTAATAGATGCTCAGTGATCATGACGGTACCACCGTCAACATTGGTTATTGGTCAGCTGTCTGCGCTGACACGACTAGGGTCAGATATCACGGCGTAAAAACTCACGGTGGAACATCTCGCGGAGTACCTCAGCTGCGGGCTTCATAGCATAAGCCCAATAACTATTGATAACTAGTCAGCTTGCTCGGAATCATCGGTCAAGCCGAAACTCCGGATTTCCGTCAGAGATTCTGCAACGTAAGTGCGATCCACTCTATGCCAAAAAGTCGGCTCCGGGTTCTCCGCTGTACGGTTCTTCACGCCAAAATTTAGGAAAACAGATTATTTCGAGCACTAAACAATGCTGAGCAATCCGGCCAACTTAGAAGAAGCCCTGAAGCTTGGCGGAGTTGCAGATTTGTGCAGAGTCCGCAAAAGAGCTTAGACGGTGGCTGAACTTAGCATCTGCAGTTCTAGAAGAGCTGCCTGGGACGATCAACTGTGGGATCTTGTGAGCACTTAAATGGTGAAAAATGGTTGTAGAGGGGAGAGCCCATGAGAAAGATTAAACCCAACGACCTCGATCATCCAGGTATAACCTACAGCATATTGCAAACATCCTTAGATCATGAGCAGCATATACTCCTCTCCTCTGTCACTGCTTCTACCAATCGGTCTTAGATCCCATTCCAACTCATACTTCTGACTAAGCACCGCCCTTACCAAAAGTGGAAGTGGTCATCTGCCTCTCAACGTCCTATATTAACACGAAGCCGAATAATGCAACCCAAGCCCTTTCATGTGGAGTGCCAATACAAAGTTAACAACGGCATTTTATGCAAGTACCTGCTTCTTGCACGATATCCTCCGCATAATGAGGGGTAATGCTAAGAAAATGTCAGATTTGAGCACCCGCGCATAGCCGTTTGGGTATACTATACGGAATACGGACACAGATGTCCATATTCTGACCCAACGCGTATCCACAACGTATCCATTGCAGAAGGGGCTTTCTCTGATAAAATGTCTCACCAATCAGGCTCGGAATATCTTCGGAATGTGGCATAGTTTACAGAGACGGAGACGGGAACAAAGAAGTTTGTGCGGGGCTGGCGCCGATCCCCCAGAAAATAAATATTTTGGACTCCAACTCATCCAGATGTTGAAGAAAAAGAGGTAAAGAGATGAGTTTACTTGATATGTTTGTTCGCAGATCCATCTGCTGAATACATGTGTTCATTCCGAGGGCAAAATATATAAAACCAACCTATCAACAGGAGGATATACAGGGCACATAGTATGTCTTAGTCTGAATGGGTAACTCCCCATCCTTGGCGGCCAGGTGGTGATCGTCGCCCTATTCACCAGCCTCGGTAACAGATATCAATCACATTCACAAGATGAGACCTATCATGTTTAGATCTAGTATATATTGTGAAGATCGCCCTCCCTTTTCTCGTGCAGCAGCAGCAGCAGCAGCAGCATCTCAGCCTTGACTCTCACATAGAGCAGGAAAATGGCATTGTCCCTTGCGCGTATGGCGCGCCTTGCCCTAGTTGGCATGATGGCATTCACGTCAATTGCCTCAGCATTGCCTGCGTCCCCCATCCCTCGCAGCACAGTCCAGGCTCCCGACAATGATCCGTTTTATCAGCCACCTGATGGCTTCGCATCCAAGGCGCCTGGGACAATCCTTAGCCAACGCAAGGTCGATGTCGCGTTCTTCGGCCTCATCCCGATTGACGTGGAGGCCTACCAGCTGCTTTACCGCACGACTGCAATCGATGGCTCGGCTATTGCAACAGTGACCACGGTGTTCAAGCCGAAAAATGCTAAGCTCGATCGTTTCGTTTCCTTCGCCACGGCCTACGACAGCTCTGCGACCAAATGCCAGCCTAGCTATGGCTACCAGCTTGGTGCGCCACAGAACAGCTTGATCTCTTCAGTCGAGCTGTTGATCATTGAAATCTACCTTGCTCTTGGCTATACCGTCGCTTCTCCCGACTATGAGGGACCCGATGCTGCCTTTGGACCTGGTCGCCTCGCAGGCATGGGTGTATTGGATGGTATGCGTGCCGTGAAGAGCTTCAAGAGCTTGGGTCTCACCGATAATCCTATGGTTGTGGGCGTTGGTTATTCGGGTGGTGCTATCGCTACCGGCTGGGCAGCCTCTTTGCAGCCCAAGTACGCATCAGAACTGAACATGAAGGGCTGGGTGCAGGGTGGAACTCCCTCGAATGTCACAGGCACAATGTATCAGCTCGACGACACTGCCTTCAGTGGCTTCCTCCCTTCTGCTATTGTTGGTCTCTCAAAGCCAAGCGCCTACGGCGCCGAGCTGGACGCTTTCATCAGCAAGGTCGTCACGCCAGAAGGTCAAAAGTCACTGGACACCGCCGCCTCGGAATGCGCCACTACGGCTCTTTTGGCGTTCTTCGAAAAATCAATCTTTGACGCTAGCTTCCAAACTATGGGCGAGGCTTTTATCTTCGACCCAATCATTCAGTCGGTGTTGAAGCAAAACAGCATGGGTGTCAACAAGGACGAGACTCCGACAGCACCCACCTTTGTGTACCACGCTGAAAAGGATGAAGTCATCCCGTATGCTGATGCCAAAAAGCTGGTTGATTCTTGGTGTAGCTGGGATGCGAACGTCAAGCTTACTACTTACGCCAGCGGTGGTCACGCGACTACTGAAATCATCGCCATCCCCGATGCCATCAAGTTTGTCCAGAATGCCTTTGCTGGCACGACCAAGAGTGGCTGCACCACGAACACTGAGCTTGGCAGTATTCTCAACCCGCTTGCTCTGGGTGTGGATCTTGAGCCTATTCTTGTGAAGCTCATTGATGGACTGTTCCACCTGGGTGACCAGGACTCCAAGTTCAAGGCCGACCCTGTTGCAGTGCTCAAAACCAACCTCTAAGGGAATGCTGACATCTACTATTGGTCGTAATGAGCGTTGAAGGTTTGAGCCACGACTTTTGTATATGTTTTGGATCTATCTATCTATATATATATATATATATGTGTGTGTGTGTGTGTGTGTACATATGTCGCTCTCCCACAATCTCTGTGTTTGGGTCATTTGGTATCCTTCGTGGAATTACATAGCTCTTTCAATACATAATGTTTCTCAGCTTGAAGTTATGGTACGGTGTCCTGGGAACAACCAGATACGCAGATCACATGACTAAAATGAGCTCTGCAGATCTCAATATACTTAGTTTAGTTCTTCGTCTTCAATCTTATATTGTTACTTATATTTACCTTTTTAGAATTGTGACTCGATAACTTTGTTATAACTTGACAATACTTATAAGTAGACCAATACCCCGGTATAGATATACTCGGCGCTCTACCTAGTATCGTTTCCTCGATACCCTCGAAAGGACTTAGGCTGCAGTAAGGCTTTTTAAGCAACAGCTCAGTTGAGAGACAGATCGTTGACGTTGGAAACCTGAGGAGTATAAGGCAAGTATACCCAGATCCCATCTAACCTAACTGTGACCAGTTTGCAGTGAGTAACAATATATCTCTCTCTCTTCGCCTTCACTTTCTAAGGTATTAGACCCGTGGGTAGGGTCATAGCCATGTCTAGACATAGTGAATGAGAACATTAATGCTGCCAAACTGTAGGGTACTAAGAAACAAGAAACATGATCTCACACAGCCAAGGATACATACACTTCTTTCCACCTTATGAAATGTCACCTCCCTGTTGTCACAATTGACCTAAATATGAAACTTAGTCTCTATTCTCACATCCCCTGCCAGTCCCAAACTTTCTCTGCTAAGAATTGCAGTTCCCCGTCGTCGATATGAATATTTCGTTCTCTCGGTTCGATGGGGGGTCTCAGGAAGAGCTTTTCGAACTCGATAACCAGAGGAGACCCCGTGGTTGTGATTTTACTGCCCTTCCTTGAGATCTGAACGGTTTGATGAAGGTGGTTGATAGAGTTGTTGCCCTGGGTTCCCCAATTCTCGATGGTGATGTTAGGGGATTATTGATTGATTTAGAGGGTGATTACCATCTTCACATCACCCCCTGAAGCTCGGAGCCAGTATCTTATATCTGACTGTAGCTTATCCCTACTCTCTGAGAAGGTAACTTCCAGTACGACACTAGGCCAGTCCTTTGATCGGCCACGTGGGAGTCGGAATGGCTGCCACGCCTTATCGGCTTCTTTAGCCCCTATTATAGTATGGTGGATAGCACTTCCGGTTGGGTTAAGGGAGCGATCCATCCTAATAGGCTTGATTGCATCGTAGAGTAGGACTTGGAAGATTTCCGAAGCGACTTCATGGGCTTTAGACTTTATCATTCTTAATAGCACACGGTCTAACTGGGCGTCATACGAGGACCAGGAAGCAAATGGACCCTCTTTTGCCAGTTGTGAATATTGAATTGTTAACGCGTTTGATAAGACACCATTCACTGGTAGTGGCCTTGCTTGCTGTCGCGACTGTTTGCTTGATGGTGTTGAGTAACTGCTCCCGGTCCCGATATTGGTAGACTGGGAGAACGGAAGGTGCAAGGTCGCCTAGGAAGCCGCGACCGGCTGGGTCTACATTATCCATGGCTATCTTGTCTCCGAGATGGATTTGCAGAGTTGAATTTACTGAGGCTAAGGGGGATAGAGCTGGTCGACGTCAGTGACATCAGTCCCATGTCAGCATCTAGCTTCCATCACTAGCTCTAGCTTCCGTCACTAGTATTTCACTGACAAGACAAATCTATATGACTGAGCAATAGGTGTATTGGGACAAAGATTTCTGTAGCCATGAGGCTACATTCGATCCCAGGTGAGTCTCACCAGACTTATATTAACTTGCGAACAATATGAAGCTAGCCTCTCCGACGCGACTAATAGAATTAACGAATATCTCTATGGCTATTTAGCAATCCGCGAGGCCTGCGTAAAATGCATAATGGATATGTACAAACATCAATATGATAATCATAGGCACTGGCTTACACATACTTATTACAGCCCAGGGAAATGTCCCATGGCCGGCCATGATGTGCCCACCTTGCCATCCAATTGGCCACGATGAGCAAAAAGGCCCATGGGGCATTAGTAACGTGACCTTATTGACGAGTCTCCTCGCGCTCATCCATGCTGTCTCCGTAACCCTCACAAAGCTGCTGCGTATGGCAATTCGCGGAGGTATCAACTGTTACTGGGAAGTACTAGACAAACAGCCTCTCGAGGAGAGGGTTAGAAGACTAGAGAACGACCTCCGTTCTCTGAAGTTGGGGATGACCGAGGAAATGCACAATCTGAAGAGTGATCGGCAGGGCGATCGTTCTCGAATCAAGAGACTGGAGGACTCGCACTCTGATCTGAAGGAGGACAAGAAGGTCCTCTATAAGAGGGTCATAACTTCAAACGTCCATTTAGAATATCTCGATCAGGGAACTTTAATTGAATAATTTGTAGCAATTTTTCATATTGTTTAGTAAGGAATTCTCGAAAAATCCTAGTTCATCGGAGCATCGGAGCATCGCTGTATTTATAGACGTTGAATCAGATAACGGTGTAACATGCTAAAATGGAATATGGGGAAATCTTGGATCTGTATAAAGTACATGTGTAGATATTGATATCACCTGCCCATACCTAATACTCCATATATCACGCCTTGTAAGTCGTGATCAAAGTGCTTATCAGTTCCAAGGTACCAGTGGACCTTCCAGGTTGCCTGGGTACCCTTGCGACCGTGCATTTGTACAATATTTCTATTAAAAGAGTAAAGAGATCTAAAGAATAAGAGCCTAGGATATATAGAATATAGGCAAACCCCCATGTTTGCATCATCTGCGTGGCGCTCTAGGCTGACTAGGACACTCGAGACCTGTCGAGTCACCGGATGTGCGTCACAGACAATCTTCATTATTACACCCCTTCTCTCTTTTTCTTTCTCCACATCCATTTTGTTTTATCATTTCTTTTTCACTTTCTCCTATTTCTCTCGCTTCTCTACGCCACATACGGCGATTCACTCTCTGCATTTGCCCCCGTGCGGAGAAGCTCTAGACTTGCTCCGAAGGTCCTAGGGCGGAGACAACCCCAGACCACATGCTGGGCATCCATTGTCTTATCGTGAATCTTTTAGCGTCTCAGATTCAGGAACGTCCCTAGAAGATATCGTTTTCCTCGCCTGTTAGCATGGCTCTCAGTCCTGGAATCATCGCTGCCCGATTGCGTTCCTGATAACAGATTCCGGCGGTGATAACACTCAATCTACAACACTTCCGCTCCAGGGTAAGATCGTTCCTCTTCTTCAAATGCGTGTCGATGGTCGCTAACCACGCGTTTGCAATTAGGCGCCCATCATGCATCAACATCCCCGATCATCGGCGGTGCCCTCTCCGGCGCCAAACCTTCCCCTCAGACCGACAACTCGGGACGGCCGCAGAGAACAAGAAACCGCCCCAAGCTCCCCAACCATCGATATGGGATCTCATTCCGCCAGAGGGCTGGGGATAGAGCCGGGGCCTCAGCCATCTGAGCAGGGGAGGAGCGCAGCACAGGGAAAGGAGGCCCTGACCCGGTTAAATCAGATAATATCGGTATCGTCACTTAGATCGCCCCTCCAATGGCTTATCAGGATGGCTTATTGATGGCTAATCTCCTTTTCAACAGAACTATCACACAAAAGCCGCTTTAATTATCCTGCATTCACGGGTTGCACTGCCTCCCTCCTTTAACAAGGGCTCCGAGTCCCCGAGAGTCAACCGTTGGGTACGTTTCCATCTCATGGTCGGGTTTGGGATGCTTTTGGAACAGTCAAGCATATGGAAGTGGCAGAAGCTAATTCTTTGGATCACTCCAGTTCAACGTTGAATTGGATGATACAGATGTCCTTCGGGAACCCCTGCGACCATGGAGAACATGCGATGCAACGGACAATCGACCACCACCCCTCGTTATCGAAACATACCTAGACACAAAGGGTCTCACAAATAATCAAAGCCTGGTGATTATTGATGAGCACGGGAAGCGTTGGGATGTGCGCGAATCGCTCGCGGCACTTGAGAGCTCCCGTGCAAAGCCATACCAATCTGAAAATGACGAGATCATCTTGGAGCGGTGGAGAATCGAGTTGGGAGAGTCGTCAAGTAGGCTTCCGGCAGATCTGGGCTCTATATTGCCGATTGTGTATAAGAAAAGCATTGTGCTCTTCCGATCCTTATTCACCTACTCCAAGTTTTTGCCTGCATGGAGATTCTCTAAACGCAACAAAAAGTTGCGGCAGAGTCCAGCTCTCCAGATCAAGTACCGTGTGGTAGATGGGAGCGCTGCTTGTGATGACCTCTCACTGGATCATTTGACTGCCCCATTGAGTGAGGGAAGCGAAAAAGTGGTGGACACCTACGGCTTTGGAGTCACGGAGTCGCCCGCAGGTCCCTTTTCAGTCGAAGTCACGTATCGGACGAACTGCGATTTCCGGGTTGACGACTCGGAAGCGCTACTGAGCTCGCGGTTTATGGGTGCTGACGACGAGATCTTTCGTCCATCGTTGCCTTCAGATGATGTCAATCGTCCAAATCCCGAAGTTGGTTCTGTGCCAGTGGAGAGAAGGACCGTTGAGGATCCAGATCGCACACGTGCATACGGTAGTCTCTCGACCTTCCATCAGGTTGGCCCAACAACAGGTGCAAGTCCTATATCAGCACTTCGTGCAATGAGAGATTCGGGCGCGGGATCTCCGTCCCCGACCGACTCACCTAAGAGACTCCTCCCCCCTGCCAAAGTCGTTCCTTCAGGACGCGCTGCGCAGATTGCTGGTGAAGGTGGAGGCTCAAGCTTCCCACGCCGACCCTCCATTTCATTCCAGCCCTTCAAAGCTCCCCCCTCTTTCTGCTTCCCCGGCTTTAGCAGACTCTCCCCTAGGAGTGTCTCCCCGCAACATGTCTTCACGCATACCCACAGGAACATCTGCCGATTCACGCATCATGCCGCCCCCTTCTTCTGCCGCTTCAGCGCGTAGACCTATGACCATTGCATCTGAGCAAGCTATATCATTCTCTAATTCCGCATCCCCGAAACCTGCTCCGATATCCCGATACAGCAGCTCCTTCAGCCACCGACGAGGTCGCCTTTCTGCGGGGGCAAACAGACTGGAAGACGACAACTCTAGTGGCAAAGCTAGCGCGACATCATCCAATGCACAGCCCGGGTCCGGCCTACTCACGGAAGCTACAGGCACGAGTGCAGAGTCCATCCATGCAGATGACGAGAATATATCGGATTTTTTGAAGATGCTTGATTCGAAGAAGGACCTAATGAATTCATCTACCTCCGCGTCTGTTCAACCTGGTTCTAGGCAGCCGAACCCCACTGCAGCAGCTCTTGCGCGCTTCCGCGGTATGCGAGATTCAAATGCCGCGTTGTCCGACTCGATGTCACAGTCTATGCATATGCATCGCTCTTCCATTTCTTCGAGCAAGCAATTATCAGGAGTCCCACCGATGGTTGCGGGCACCTCCATATCCACAGCTTCTTCTCCTGGGAAACCCATATCCCCTCACACTCCCCACACTCCTGCTATCCGCTCTCGACTGAGCTCGAACAGTGTAGCTGATGACATTGAAACCGACCACCATTCAAGAATCCCTCGCATACAACACGACTCGCCGCTGGAAGAACATCCCGGCATGGAAACTACACGAGGACCTTCCTCTACCGCAGGTGCTATCGACATCCCAACATCGCCGCGGATTTTTGACCCTACTTACCGTCGCTCGAGCTCCGTGGCCTTGCGCCGTCCGATCGTTACAAGTGAAGATGATGAAATCTTCCCATTCGGCATGCGCAGCCTCAGTCTAGGGGCCGATGAGCCACTAAACACCACTCTAGGTGCCGCCCAACAGCAGAACGAGTCCCAAAAAAGTCAACAATCACCGGCTGAGGACCCAAGTGGCCCATCTGGATCTACAACGGCTCCGTATCGAGACAGTACATCTATCCGCGGGCAGATTCCTGGACCAACCAGCGCCTCAGCCTCCTCCAACCCCCATGTCTACCAGCCCCGGTTCGCCAGCTCCCGCGGCCGCGGCTACTCAGGTGGGCATTCCCTCAGCTCAGCATCCAGCAGCCTCGCCCGGGGCGCCAACCTTGCCCCGCACCTGGTGGACCGCGACCAGGACCGCGATGGCAATGCTAGCGGAAGCAATAGCGGTAACTCCACGCTGGAGATTCGTCGTGGTTCTGCGCAGCGGCCAGGTACAGGTCGGACGCCATCCACCCAAGCGCCCGAAGACGACGAGCCGTTGCTTTTCGCCATGAGCGATTTCGGCGCCTCGCGGCGCAGCCTGGATGAAGGTAGGCATGGGAATCACGGTGGGGCTGAATCGACCGCTGGGTCCCGGCGTGGTAGTGGGAGACGGGGAGCAGGGCTCCCGGGCTTCCATGTTTGGTCGTGAAGTACAAGTATACAAGGTCATTTCAATGATGCTTTTGGTTTTCTGTCCTATTTTCAACCTCCCATGCCTCTCTCTCCCTCGCCTACCTCTCAACCTATCTTATAACCGTGCCAATCTCCTAGGCGATTGGGCCTCCATTTGATCCAGTTCTTGATTCTTGTTTTGATTTTAAACCATTTCTTACTTGCGCGGTTGGCTGCCAGTGATTTCATAGACTGAACACTCCACTCACAGATTGATTACTGCGAAGTGCATAGAGATTGGGTCTTGTTATCGTTTTGTTTTAGGCGTTTTTGTTTTTCTCTTTTCTGTGATTTTCTCTTTACTTTCACTTCACTTTCACTTCACTTTTGAAGTTCCGGGATTGCTTTGTTCATCCGGCATATTCCCTGCATGATTGACACGACTTGATGGTTTCTTGGAGACCGATGCTTTCTCTTACGACTATATGAATCTTGATCTATTTGATGATGTTGGTGGTCTTGACTTGGTAGAGTTAAATTATCTATTAAAAAAAATTGAAACGCTTATTTGTATTCGGCAATGGGGCATATATGACGGATTATAGCCCTTTATATTTCCCAAGAACTTAATGCAGCATATTGAATCGGGTATTTTCTCAGGGTGATGAAGATCTGCCTCGCATTTGAATTCAGATTGACACTAAAACAAAGGGAGGTTCAAGAGATATATATATCGCCGTAGTCTCGGGACCATTCGGGCATAAATCTGTAGGAGAATTATGGTAGAACAGCTCTATATCGGGCGGTTTACACTCCATGCAAGAATACTGCCCAACTGCTGCTCTCACTTCGGTTTCAAGTAAATAATCAACATCATGACGGGAATAGCGCTCTACATGCAACGGAATTCTACGCTGACCCTTTTCGCTAGAAGATCTATGCATTTGATCGATACCATGCAAATTTACATGCCATGTCAAGTAAGTCATCAAAATCCAGTGGAAAAATATCGTCAAGCGGCGAGAAATATATCTTACGTGGTTGCTCGTGATCTACGGTGCTTCTTGGGCTGAAGAATTTGGAGAAACTCTACGGAATAGATCTTCGTTATATCCCCGATATCGGTCAAAATTGTCTTGATCGACCTGTAGTGTTGTGATGACCGCGTCTACCCACAGCCAGTATTATTCTTCAATGTTGTTAGTTTGAATGCGCATTTTATACCTTGTATTGGCCTGTGCTGGGTAGAGGCTCCCTTAGATCGTACATAGCAAGAGATATAGAAGAAAGAAACAAGTGACTTCGTTACGGATCATGGGCATTCCATGGAGATATCTAAATACATTGAACATCCAATTTTTTTACCCTTCTAACAAACCTCAACTTAAACACGCTTATGCGATGTAGGTAGAGGCCGACACGTCACCACCACGGCCGGTCCAGTTAACGTGGATATCCTTGCCCTCGGGGAAGGTCTCGCTGGCGTTCTCGGGCTTGATGCGGAAAGTGTGGGCACCAAAGTAATCACGCTGGGCCTGGAGCAGGTTGGCGGGCAGGTTCTTGGAGCGGTAACCGTCGTAGAAGCTGAGAGCAGTGGAGAAGGCCGGAGCGGGGATACCCCACAGAGCGGTCTTGCTGATCACGTTACGCCAGCCGTTCTGGGCGTTGTTAATGGCCTTGTTGAAGAAGTCATCGAACAGAAGGTTCTCAAGGTCGGGGTTGTTGCGGTAAGCATTGGTAATATCCTTAAGGAAGACGGAGCGGATGATGCAACCACCGCGCCACATGAGGGCGATGGAAGGCTTGTTCAGCTTCCACTTGTACTCCTTGGCAGCCTATATTAAAGTCGGGGGTTAGAAATTGACTACCAGCGCGGCTGACAAGAAATGACTTACGTTCTGGATGAGCATGAAGCCCTGAGCGTAGGAGATAATCTTGGAAGCGTAAAGGGCCTGCTCGAGGTCGTCGACGAAAGCCTGCTTGTCGCCCTCGAACTTGGGGGTAGGACCGCTCAGGATGGAGCTGGCACGGCCACGCTCGTCCTTGAGAGCACTGAGGCAGCGGGAGAAGACAGCCTCACCGATCAGGGTGACGGGCATGCCGAGGTCCAGAGCGTTGATGGCGGTCCACTTGCCGGTACCCTTCTGGCCAGCCTTGTCGAGGATCTTGTCAACAAGGGGAGTGCCATCGTTGTCGTTGTAGTAGAGAATATCACGGGTGATTTCAATCAGGAAGGAGTCGAGAACACCGGTGTTCCACTTGGCGAAAACATCACCAATCTCCTTGGAGGAGAAACCGAGACCGCGCTTGAGGATATCGTAGGCCTAAATAATGTCAGTAGTTGCTCGAAAGTCTTTTGCTTTTGAAAGTAGCCTTACCTCGCAGATCAGCTGCATGTCACCGTACTCAATACCGTTGTGGACCATCTTGACGTAGTGACCAGCACCCTCGTCACCGACCCAGTCGCAGCAAGCCTCACCGTCGCTCTTGGCGGAGATGCTCTGGAAAATATCCTTAATGTGGGGCCAGGCATCCTCGTTACCACCGGGCATGAGAGAGGGACCGTAGCGGGCACCCTCCTCACCACCGGAGACACCGCTGCCGACGAAGCTGATACCCTTGGCAGTGAGGTACTGAGTGCGGCGGTTGCTGTCGGGGAAGTGGGAGTTACCACCGTCAATGATGATATCACCCTTCTCGAGGAAAGGCAGAAGAGACTCGATGAAGTCATCGACGGGCTTGCCGGCCATGACGAGGAGCATGATACGGCGGGGGCGCTTGAGCTTGGCACAGAACTCCTGGATGGAGTGAGCACCAACGATGGACTTGCCTGTTTTATAATGAGCATTTGTGGCGAGCGATTGGGGGCGGTCATTCTCTGTAGAGCTTACCCTTGGCCTCGTTCTCCAAGAAACGGTCAACCTTGGCGGTGGTACGGTTGAAAGCGCAAACGGTGAATCCGTGATCAGCAACGTTCAGGATCAGGTTCTGGCCCATAACGGCCAGACCGATGAGGCCGAAATCAGCACTGGGAGCAAAGTGCGCCGGAGCACCGACATTGATGCCGGCGAGACGGGCGCTATAGTCAGCGATCAATGTCTCTTGTCAATAGCTGGGCAAAAACTAGGGAATAAGAAGAGAAGGCCACCCGTGCGCTTCCGAAAAAGATCACAGACGCAGTATCTCCATTGGTATCATCTTGCGCGAGCATCTATAGGAATTCTTCCGAATAGAGCTGTTGCATGATGTCCGAGGAGCATTGAAGCTCCATGCGCTCCGTTATCCAAGATGCAGGGAGGTGTGACCACCGGAGAAGCTGAAATTGGTGAAGTGGGGGGAGATGATAACTTACACAGCTTGGTCAGCCATGACGATTATATGTGAGATAAAAGGGTGAGTGAAGCAAAGGTTGATCTAGAGAAGAAAGGAGGATGAAGAGGGGGGGGGGGGGGAAAGAAGAAGAAGTAGCATTGGAGCCCCGGCTGACGGAGCAACTCTTCCGTCATCTGGTGGGACATACCGGAGGTACCGTGTACCTCAGTTGTTATTACTATCTCCGGTGTAGCGCCAAGTATTGGGTACAGGAGCAGAGTCGTCCGGTATTAACCCACTCGGGTTCTGGTAGGAAAGCATTATCCGACCATTCAATTCCAATTCTCTACTATACATATCTCTACATCTATACAAAAATATATGCATAGCTTTTATATATAGCGGGGCATGGAGGGGTAACTTGAAGAATTCAAACATGGCTTGTATGTACATATACCAACTAGTATATTCAACTAGTATATTGTAAGTATCGTGTACTTGAGAATGATGAAACAGTAATTCAACCGAATATCCAACCCATCGAAACCATCCGAACTTGTCCACGCATCGGTGAACTGTTCTGGTAGAAAGGCGACGGAGAAATCACTTGCCGATGCGTTCATAGCCCGCTACGTATAAACTAGGCCACTTTGGGACTAGAGTGGGGGTCAGCCCACATGAGTCATCACAACTGGCTTATGTAACTTCTGAGTCAGAAAAGCTTGGTCAGGTCATGTGACACGTCACGGCCTAGCCAGCGCATTGGACAAAAAAGTCATGTCTCATTAAGCATTCTGATTCTGTACAGTCCTTAGTCCTTGAAGACGCGCACTATACTAATCATCCAGCCTTCTCGCGATCATTTGCAAGACGCGCAACGCTTCGCCTCTTGCAAGTGCACATCCTTCGGGTGCCTATCTCAAGCGTGACGTTTGGCGACTGACTGCGGCGTCAGTCAGGCCCTGAAGGTACGTTCCGGTTGCTACTTTGCATCTAGGATTCTCTCTCTCTCTCTCTCTCGCGCGCGCGCGCGTCTCATTTCCTTCCCCCTTTTTTTTTTGAATATCCCATTCATCATGTCCCTTCCGCCTCCTCCAGGTCTCAGACAGACTCCCTCGTCTCTTCCGCCCCGCCCACCTCCATCCTCCAACACCGCACAGCCTCCCGCCAATTCTGCAGGCCATGGCAGATCTCGACCCACAGGCTATAGTGCCTTCACGGCGTTCCAGCCGCGCGCGGTAGCCTCCAGTCAACCGCATCGCGCCACCAGCCACTCGGTCTCGAATCCCCCAGTCTCTGCTGCCGGATACGCAACACCCGCCAACAGCTACGTCAGCCACTATCAACAACCACAGGCATACCAGGGTGCGCCTTCGTACTATGGACAACCTCAATACGCTGACAACACATACGGCCCCACCGTCCCACACATTGCGAATCCATTCGGATCTACGCCCAACCAGACCAACTCAGGGTATCAGAATGGCAACGCCCCTGGCTTTGATGCAGAGACGGAAGCTCAAATTGCGCAGTGGCAGAGCGCCTACACCAAACCCACTGAAGATTCCGCCAAGCACCAAGGCAACCAGTCCGGTTCAGGCGTGAACACGGGAGCTGGAACTCCAACCGTCGGCGCCGGCACTCCTATCCCGCAGGCCGAGTCACAAAAGACAGTCATTCGTTCCGGTGGTGGTGAAACATGGACCGACCCCACTCTCCTGGAGTGGGATCCGGCACATTTCCGTCTGTTTGTGGGTAACCTTGCAGGCGAAGTGACGGATGAGTCTCTCCTGAAGGCATTTTCTCGCTACACATCGGTCCAGAAAGCACGTGTCGTCCGAGAGAAACGAACCCAGAAGAGCAAAGGCTATGGATTTATCAGCTTCAGTGGAAGTGAGGATTACTTCAAAGCGGGTCGAGAAATGCAAGGAAAGTACATTGGTTCGCACCCGATTTTACTACGCAAAGCCGAGACCGAGGTTCGCCCAGCTTCGAACCCCAAGTATGGAAAGAAGGGCAAAGGCAAGGGCCCCAGAGCAGACAATGCCGGAGCCGGAGCAGGTGGAAAAGTGAAACACGACGGTGTCAAAAAGTCCGCCAAAACCAAGGGAGGTTTGAAGATCCTGGGTTAAGTTTATGGATGCGACCGGCGGTTTATGCCAGGAACGATATTTTCACATGACAAGAGGTTTTTTTAAATTGCTAAATATGTATACTATTCTAATAACTATAGAATCTAAATATAAAAACTAGTTCCTCGGGGTCAGGTCCAGTTGTAGTCGATATGGATCACGTGACTATTTTTGTGGCCTTGGCGCCTTCCCAAGGTCTTTCATCTTGCGTGGACTTCCATACATACTTCCGAGGTATATTAAGTACAATAGTTGTATGCCTTGTTAACTCTTTTTGATGGTTTAAATCCATGCATGCCTTCTTAGGTATTACCTCCTTGTATGCATTTTTTTAATTTTTCCCTTTAGTGAAGGATAAAAAGAACTGGCAAGAAATCCCAGACTGGCTCAGAATGTACACACGACTTTTCCACTTGTAACATTTGATATTCCATTAACTTGGAAGCACTTTAGTCAATTATTTTTAGCCTATAAAATGTACTCTGTAAGGAGTATGAAGTGGTCCATGTGGTACCTAGCCATAGTATGTGGTTAGTACAGCACATCCCCAGCCCCTCTAAAAGCACATGGCTGGGAGAAAAAAAAGTCCTGTTTAAAACCCATTCACATTCCAGATCAAATTCTCTTTATCTCTCCTTCCTCACATTCTTACGATCTAATCTCACTTTTCTCGAAAAAGGAGATTTGCGTGTTGCGAAAAGAGCCAGCCCGACGAGGCTGTATACTTCTGTATACAAATCCACCCAACGCATTGCTACCCACCTTGTACACGGCCTACTACCTTGATTTCCACGCCTTGTTTTGATTTTACCTATCCTCCTATCGGCCTGACAACCAGCGATCAAAGCTCTTTACACCCACCAAACCATTTGCCTGACCTCTCTACCACGATCTGTTGATCGTCCCCACCCAATATGGTTCAGCGCAACATCACCATCGCGATCATCATCATCGTCCTTTTCCTCCTCCTTGCAATCGCTGGATTCGCTATTTGGGCGGTAAACAACCACGTCTCATTCTTCTCTAAGAAAAAGGAGCCCGATTCAGAGAGTGCAGATGGGTAATAAGGCCAGGCAGTAGCAAACACTGCACTTTGGCCTTGGCCTTGGGTTCTCTTGGTCTCACTTTACAGGCATTGATTGCCGTTTTCTTTTTTCGGAACATGCACACATATACGATCACACACAAACATCTACGACCACGACATTTTCTGCGACACGATACCCTTTCTGCTGGCATTAGATACTATCTGCCACAATGACGAGTTGCGCCACGAGTCTTTCACGTTGACACACGCCTTTTTTGTACAATTGTTGGCGATTGGAAGCAATCAGTACATACTTTGCTTTCGGTGTATCTTTTTTTTTTTCTGTTTTGCTTTTATTCTTGGTGGTGTTTGATGGGGAGTTGGGGGTCTTTTCTTTCTTGGATGTACTTTTTGACGAGGACTTCATTTGGTGCACATTATTTGCTTTTGAACTCTATGATGCATATTTCTATTGACAGTTTGAAAATACCTTAAGTTGACAAAGTTTCAAAACAATATCAATCTATCTCTTACATCTTTCAAAAGCTGTATAACAAGTGAATACCTACGTAATGCTCCCGTCCAAAGACACGAAGGACAGATGTAAGGATGTATCTATCCATCGATACTGTGAAGAAAACTCCAACATGCTCAATACTTTGACAACCATGCACAATAAACAAAGGGAATTCAAATGCACTGCCTCCAGGGGTATACATATCTACCCAAACTAGGTAATAAAACATCCCACCACCGAAAAAGCCTTAACATACATGAGACCCCAAGAGAAAAATACCATAACGCCCCAGTAACAAGATGCCTCGCTCAAAAAACATAACTCAAAAGCTCTTGTGCGCGAAGAGCCGTGACGACATGCCAAGGCAGTGTGTTGTTTTGTACACTGCATATGCCCTTGGCTCGGGCAAGACAGCCCAGGTCCCGATACATACTTAAGGTATCCTTCAGGACGTTATCGTGAGACGCGGGAGGACGTGGAGAATAGATAAGGTTAACGGAGATGGCAAACACGCCGTCGCCACCAGTAGCCCCCTTGCGGCGGAGGAGATACCCGCTGGAGAGGGCGGGTCGGAATTCGGTGAGGTGTGGAGAGCTGTTGAGTCGGTGTGATAGAATGGCTAGCCAGGAATCGTCGCAGATATCAGTGAGGACGGCTTCCGAATCTGTTTCAAGCGGCATGTCCGTCGGTGTGGGGGCACTGTAGGCGGCAGGACCGGCGCTGGTTGGAGTGGCTGCATTGCCTGATTGTTCGGGGGATGCAACGCTGGCACTTGGATTAGGAGTCGAGACAGGGGTAGACGAAGACAGTATATTCAGCATAGCCATCGATATGGGTGGAACTGGTGGCTCAAGGATCAAGTCGGGAACCGTGTTGACAGCCAAGATGGTCAATTCCAAGGACCCGGGTTTTGACTTATTGTGCTGGTCTGCTAGACTAGCCCATGCTGTGTGAATGTGTCAGCAATCTGCCCTCGATATTAGGAACAAACTAGAAGCAGTACCTTCAACCTCATCGGTTTCCATAGGCTCGGTGGTCGCCAGCTGAACTTTCCATCGTGCTTGGAATTTATCCATAATGAGTTTCGTCGTAGCCCAGATTTCATTCCTTACCTCGGAAATCGGTCTGGCAACGCCCGACCGACGATGCCGCAGGCAGTAAGACATGGTTCTTTGTATAGAACCTGGCAAATCAGACCAAGCCACCGATATCCAGCGTTGATCAAGACTTTTGGAAAAGGCAATGTGAAGACTTCGCCCATCTTGAAGCGGCGAGGATCTTTCAGGGGTAAGTCGGAAACTAATGGCTCTAGGGAGAGCGTCGGCCAGAAGCATTGGTGGCGCGCAGAGCAGGGGGCTAATATCCCCATCATTTGGGCGACACCGACTGTAGACTTCTAGGGCTAAATTCAAATAATCTGTCTGGGGAGGTATAACCATCGTCTCGCTCGACATGACGAATTCCAGTGGAATTATCTGCAGAACAAGCTCGTTGGCAATCCGAGTCTGTCTTCGCTCGGAACCGGCTATTAATTGCTGGAAAAGGTGCCAGAAGGCGGAGCAAATGTCTGCTAGTGCCGCGGCATGCGTAAATGGGTTGATGATATAGACAACATGATTATCGGCACTCGCTGGGGATTGCGAGAGCTCTGAGCCTTCAGACTTGTTAGTATAATCCATAACCGCCAGAGAAGAAGACATACCAAGCTGCTCGCATGTTCTCTTCAATACCTGCATCATAGATTCATAACTAGATGTTTCAGATTTCCATGGCTTCAGCCCGTCTTCAAATGCCACAGAATCGTCTCCTCTGGTGTGGGTTCCAAGGTTGCAACTTTGGTAGAGAAGGCCAAACCGTCTTAGGAACACATCTGCTGCTTCTGACGCAGCTTGTGGGTGAATGCAATAAGCAGAAATGTTCTTTGGTCCATGAGCAGGCTCAAGACCAAACGTTTCCCAAAACGATACAGCCGGAGGAAGAGCCTCCAAGTATTCTTTGCCTCGACGCACACGTATGTGGGGCGCCGATAACTTTGAAATGAAGCTTTTAGGAATGTCTTTGGGCGCTGGTGGATGTTGTGGCGGTTGCTGTTGCGGGTGGTTCACAACAAATTCATCCTGCAATGATGTGTATGTTTTGAAGTCCAATCTCGAGGTCTCGCCCAAGAGGGTTGTGTCGTCCAGGATTTGCAGTGGTAGAGACTGGCTCTCGAGATCAAAAAGACCAATTTGCCCATCAAGCGGGTGCTTGAGGGAGGACTGCGTGATTTGGTCGACTAGAAGTTGAGCAATTTCAACCTGACCTTCACGGCGAAGAAGTACAGGGAGTTGTTGAGGTAGAAAGGCCGAGAAATAACCGGTTAACGTCCAATCAGAGAAATTGGCTAGGAAATTGCCAAGAAAGGTAGAGTTCTCAGCTGCGTATGCAGGACTTGCTTCTGTGCCGGGCATTGACTTCTCTTGGGATGCAACCGACATTATATCAGATTCCGAGGGAGCTCGTTTCCGCTTTAAAGAAGACATTAAAGGCATGGCTGCTGGTGTTGGAACGTACTCAGACATGATCTCGATACTGTCGTCGCTGCTGTCACTGCTCACCGATGCTGATCGTAGACCATTTTCTGACTGGATTAGAGATAAACTAGCCCTGTTGCGTTCTTTCGAAGAGCCAGGTGCGTTGGCACTACTTCGATCACGGCGAGGAATGCCAATCGTGGGTATGGCAGATGACTGATCTAACGTGTCCAACGAGTCACCACCGGAGAACCAGAATTTGCCAGTTGTTCCGTACTTCTGATCCCAATCACTAAGTTTATTTTCAAAGGCCACTGGGTGGTAGTGCCCTTGTCCCTGATTACCTGTAGATTGTTGATGATCCGCTCCCTCGTGTCCCGGGAACAATATCCTTTTCACTTCTACTGGGCTCAAGGGTGGGCTGATTGTTTGACCTGCGCGATCCATAGGCGAATGAGCTGGTTCTTCGGGGGCCATGGGCCTCTCAGATAACTCTAGGGCTTCGTGTTGTATCGGGGATGCGTGTATCTCATGTGTTTCGACATGAGTGGAAATTTCCTGTAGCTGATTGGGGGAGGGTTCTTCATCAACCATGGGCCCGGCCTCCGATTCGCTCTGAGGATGAGATGCTTCAAGGGCTCCATCTGCATCCTCCACACGAGAGTCACCGTCCATGCCATCGAAATTAGGGTCATCGAAAAAGCTGAAGTCCGCATCGGTGATACCTTTCGACCCGAAATCTCTTTCGTTCATTTCCCCGAAGAGGTCTTCTTCGTCGCTTGCGTCATATCGGCCAGTGCCAATCCCAATGCCACTATTCTGAACGGGTGATATATCAGATCCTGGTGCATTTCTTCTTGAATTTCGTTGCTTTTCATGGGGTAGCTCAAAATCAGAGTCCTCGGTAAATGCATCAGAAGGGTTTGGATTGTTCAATCCGACTGCTGCAGCTCCATCCGGGGGAGTTGGGTAAACAAGATTTGTGCTCTGCAAATCGGGATATTGCGCAATTCGGGATAAACTCTCTATGCTTTCCAAGGCTTCGGCCTTGGGTGGTGACGGCATTTCTTGGTCTTTTGGTCGTGGGTCTTGGGTAGTAGGAGTATTTTGAGCAGTTTGGGTAATATGGTCTAGCTTGAGAGAGCCCGCCATTGTAGACCATCGCTCCGCGAAATCTAGGGGTTCGTCACGAAGGGAAGTTTGAGGCCCGGAAGAGAAATTTGATGAGCTAGCCCTTCTGAAGCAAAATCTCGCTGGCCATAGCATGCGTTTCAGCGGCAGTGCAGATTGACTATCATCACTCTGTCGCCATGCTTCCCCAGCAAGCCTTGCGAAAAATGGCTCCCAAACCTCCACTTCAACCCAGGGTTCTTCATCAATTGGGTCAACATGCAAGCCAAAATTCCGCAGCCACTGCACAACGTCTAATTTCCACTGTATTCTTTTTGCAGACAGATTCCCAGGGGCGGGGTAGCCAAGAGGGGGGACGGTTGGCGAGTCAACATTAGCCGTGACAAGCCTAGCGATAGTCCCGTTCGGGCATAGCCAAAGATCAATTCCAGACTGCACGCCAATTATTTCGGCAATGTCCTCGCGTGGACTGCATAGCCGTGTGATGCCCGTTTGGGAGATGGTCTGGGCGGAAACGGTTATTGTTCCACTCATAGTAAGCTGGACGTTGAGTGTAGTCAAGCAAGAGGTGGAGAGAATGCTGTCGTTGTCGATATGGGGACTTTCGTACCCCGAATTTTCGACAGCAGTGAAAAGGGTGCGTGATCCCAGGGGTAGAGCACCATGGCGTCGAATCAACTGGAGGCCGATTGAACCAGTGACAGCAGATATGAAAGAGGCATAAATGGCCGCTGAACTGCTGTAGCCATCTTGACGCCGAGATGACGGTTGGCTTTGATGTGGTCGTGGCTGCCCAGCGGGTTGCGTCCCATGCTGACTCTGGTTGTCAGATGACAGACCTTTCACCAAGTCCAGTGAGGAGACATTTCCCAACGCAGAGACTATAGTAATAAGATTAACAAAATAGTCCAGACTGACTATATGAGCTAATCATGGACATACCTTTCAAAGTTGTCGTGCCGACGAGGATTTTATTCGACTCTGCGTCACTTCCTCTCACATACAAAGGTTTTAGGCTTTCAAACTCGGGGGTAGGGGAGAACACCCAAAGCCCTAGGCGTCTTGGGCATGATGCGAGGCAATTCAAAACTCTCAATCGAGCCTCTAAATCTTTGAGACGACTCAAGTGCTTGAGAATAGTGTAGCCATTGGCGGGGCCCTCCTGTGGATTATTTGCGATACCAGCTTCTTCTGTGTATATTCTCCAGTAAATATTGGAGAATCCATCCTGATATGACGCGTCAGCACGCGAATGTACATTGAATATTACAACACTCACAATAAGATGTATGTTGGTGTTTGCGCCGCCAGGGAAGTCCATAATTCAACGGTCGCGGACAGCCCCGGAAGCTTTTAAAGATAGATGGTATTTTGAAGCTGACTCTGGAAATCATTTCCAATCGCAGGTTGCATGGTCTGTGGCAAGGAGCGAAAGCGCATAGCAGAGAGATCAACAAACAGCGAATACATTAGCTGGTTGATACCATGTTGCGCGGGATGAAGCGGTCAACGAAGACTAGGATGTCTGGCACCACTCTCACTCAAATAGAATTAGCGCACCAAATGAAATAGCAATGATTCAACCAGGCTCATCGCATGAAGTCAACAGAAAGTTGAAATGCGTAATTCCGAGGGACGTTCGCCAGGGACAACTTGGGCCAATCACCAGTCCCGGTTATCACGTGATCGCTATCAGCGGCTTTTTATCGTAGTTTTTTTTTTTTTATCTTTTGCAGGTTTGCTTTCGCCGACACCGATAGGTTGCAAATAAGTTGCAGATCAGCTTAAAACAACTGACTTGGCCTTCTTCACACCAGAACATATCAGCATGAAGCTGTCCAATCCCTCCGAAGTCCCGGTATATACCATATCGGGTTCAGACAGTGCTCGTCCGCTTCCCGAATGGCTTGCAAGACGGCGCAAGCGCAGCTTGAAAAATGACCCCGAGTATGCGAATCGTGTTGAATTACTGCAAGACTTTGAGTTTGAGGAAGCCAGTCAATGTGTCCGAGTCAGTGAGGACGGAGAATGGGTTATGAGCACAGGTTCGTACTACTGGTCTCCATCTTTTCTTGAGAGCGCATACCCTAACACTATTGCTCGCAGGAACTTATAAGCCACAAATCCACACCCACTACCTTCCGCAATTGTCCCTTTCATGGGCGCGTCATACCAGTTCGCTCAACACCACGTTCATCCTACTGTCTTCCGATTACACAAAGTCCCTCCACCTCCAGTCTGATAGATCCCTCGAGTTCCACACTCCCTCAGGCTGTCACTACACCACCAGACTTCCCCGATATGGTCGTGACATTGTCTATGACCGCCAGTCGACCGAGGTTCTTGTTCCTGCAGTTGGTGTTAATCCAGATGGCATGGGAGAGGTCTACCGATTGAACTTAGAGTTAGGCCGATACATGCGCAGTTTCGAGATTGATGTTGGAGGTGACGATTTTACATCCACGGGTGGCGGAACTCTCCAAGGTGGAATCAACACAGGGTCAGTCAACACCGGTGCTATTGCGGAGCAGAGTCACAATTTGTTGGCCTTTGGAACTTCATTGGGGACAGTTGAGCTATGGGACCCTAGGGCCAAGGGACGCGCCGGTGTGCTGCGTCCACCCACACCAGTTGGAATACACGATGAGCGATCGGAGATCACAGCTCTAGAATTCAATCGCTCCGGTATGAGCCTTGGAACTGGCTCGTCTAATGGTCTCATTCACCTCTACGACTTGCGTTCGCCCGTTCCCTTCCAGGTCAAGGACCAAGGATACGGGTTCCCTATTCACACTCTCCAATTCCTCGAGCAGTCGTCTGCAACACAAGCTGCAACAATCGAACCCAAATTGCTCTCGGCTGATAAGCGCATCATCAAGCTCTGGGATATCGAAGATCAAAAACCTTGGACCTCTGTTGAACCGGCTGTGGATATCAACTCTGTTGCTTGGTGCAAGGATAGCGGCATGCTCCTCACTGCCAATGAAGGCCGCCAGCAACATTCGTTCTTCATTCCGCAGCTTGGCCCCGCGCCGAAATGGTGCTCATTCTTGGACAACCTGGTTGAAGAGATGGCCGAAGATCCAAATGACCCCAGCGCATTCAAGTCTGCTCAGTCTAGTTCTGTTTGGCCCGGCTTCACGCTTGTGCCCAGTGAAGAGGTCGCGAAATGGGACGCCAAGCTCATCAAGGCAGGCGGAGAACCCATTGATTTGGCATCCTATATGCAGTCAGGAAAGATGGTACCTTACTCTAAGGGCTACCAGGTATCGAACTTTGTTTATAACTCTATCACCGGGTTGTTCCCCGATACAGAGAACCCCAGAGCGAAGAAGGTGGCAGAAATTATGAACAAGGAGCGGGAGAGCCGTATCCGCGGCAAGAAGAAGGTTGCTGTCAAGGTGAACAGGAGACTGGCCGAGAGGATGCTGAACGCGGAGGAGAAGAGGGAGCGCAAGCATGCCAAACGCCTACTGGAAGGCTCGGGCGACCAGGAAATGGTCGATGCTGCTGCAACCGCTCCTTCCGAAGGCGAGGACAAGAAGGTATTGGGCGGCGGCCGTTTCGCCCAGCTGTTCGAGGACCAAGATTTCGCTGTCGACGAGACTTCACGCGAATTCCAGTTGCTGAACCCCAGTACGGTTCCCCAGGCTGCTGCCCCAACGGCATCGAGAAAGGAGCGTGGCTTGACGGCAGTCGAGCAAGAGGCCATCGACGATGTGCCCGGTTCGAGTTCCGACTCCGACTCCGACTCCGACAGCGAAGCGGAAAAGCCCGCGAAGGCAGCAGCTTCCAAGAAGATTTCTTCTGCGGACTACAAGCGGACGAAGCGGCCTCCACCTCGTATGCAGGTATCTTCCTCAAATCAATCCCACTCCACCCGAGACCGCTCCTTCGGCTCCCGTGCGCAGAACATGAAGTCGAAGCAAAAGCCTGCACGACGGATTGGTGTAGTCGGCGAGCAAGAAATGAGCTTCAACCCAGCCGGGAAGCCGAAGCGCGCTGCCCCCGAAGTGCATTACGACAAGACCGACACATCATTCCGATCCAAGGAACGCCGCAGTGCTTCCAACAACACTTTCCGCAAGATGTAATATGTCTTACCATTATTGCCCTTTTCTTGTGCCATTTTCTTGACATCATACAAACTTGTCCAGTCAAGAAGTTTTCTCGCCCAAGGTTTACGAACCATGCTCTTGGACGTTTTACCTTCCTCGTTAGGTCGAGCGTTCTTACGGGCACACCTGTCCACTGCCGAACACTAGTGCCAATCTCATTGGCAACCTTTATTGCTCCAATATGCAATTAGGTGCTGTGCGATGTGCTGCTGTGTTGATCCCAGGGCCGCATTTTTTGAACCTATGGCAACTTTTTCAATACCCTATTTGCACACTATCTCACCATCATAGACAGCTTTGGAGTGACGCCCGAGAATTCAAAGCTCTGGTGCACATATATTTTTTTCGAATGACCACTCTGTATCTTAATGTCTCAAAAGCGATGCCAACAACCTTGAATATCATTGAGCTATTTTTTTTTTTTTTTCACTCTGCTCTACAGACGCTCTTCCAACATTATTACCTAGTCAGTCATAGTAGATGACTTTCAACCCAGACTCTCACCATGTATACAAGAAACTCATACCACGGGGCAAAATATTTCATATCAAAAAATACAGAAATTTGCACCGAATCATGAATTATATAAAATAAACCTGTAGTTCGCCCAAAAATTCCATATATGACGTCGGTAAGCAATCACAGTATGATAATGGAGGCGGTCTAGTTTCTGCCAATATTGTAATAGCATCTACTTGAACAGCATGATCTTCTTGATTGCTGTAAGAATACGTTGTATTATTTTAGTTATTTCTATGTCGCATTGAGACCAAAAACGAAATGGGCACTTAATCCACAAGGAACTTCCTTGGTACCCCAACAGTAATAAATGCGAAAGGTAATTGTAAGGCAGGCCTTCTGTCTAAATATGTAGTTATAGTTATCTAGAAGGGAAAAAAGGGATAGATAGAAATTGTCCGCCAGAATGTCAATATGGTAGTTTTTAGGTCAATATCCTACGGCCTGTACCTGTGCATGTTCGTCTGGACAGACGTGGGTTATTTTGATAGGCTATAGGACGTTTCCAGAACTATATAGTTTCACCGTACACTGGATACTAATGTTGTAATGGAATCGGAAAGAATTGGAGGGAGCATCTGATTCTGTCCGTTAGAGTAGTTTGAATGTAGTTTGAATTGGGATGCCATCCTGTGATGCAACTGGATCCAGTTTGCATGCAGTACAGGGTGTCGATGATGTTAAGCTTCATTGAAGGCGTTAATCTCGACTCCGTACGTACGAGTTTCATATACTTGGCATGCAAAAATGCCGAGTTAGGATTAGCGTTGAAACTTTCCCAAGTCCATGTTAATAACTACGAAAGTAGGAGACGATAGAAAAAGCAAGTGCTATACAGAACCGATGTTTAAGGGAGGGGAAGGGCATAATATATATTCCTATTACATGCTTAGTATTAAGAGAACCAGTGGCCCTTGACAGGCGAGAGTGTTCATTGAGGGCGCCTCCGTTATGAAGGAAGAAGACTATTGTGAGGATGTTTCACCCACCACCTCAGCAGTTGTAACACCCACGGCGACGACAATGACAATTACTCAAGAGCCATAAAAGAAGACCCCATGCTCAACAGACGCTAAAGCAGGGGCAGGCGTTGGCATTGCACTGAGGGGTAGATTGTGGATTCTTCATGGACAAGTACGAGACCAGTGGATTTTGGATGCATGATCCCGTATCATCGCAGCATTATAACGTGTTCAGATGTTCAGAGTAGTTTGGAATACAGCCCGGAGAATCAATAAGCCATATCCATTTAGCCGATTTCGATAGAAGGGGGAAATGGGGCTATAAACACATCAGGTCCGCCATACTGTATTGCATTGACCTCAGAGCTTTTGAAACCCGTAATTTTAAGAGAAGTTTCCTAAAGAGAAATATAGAACTCTTTTAGATATCCGATGTGGATCGAACCATTTTCCTAATGCGGAAGTCCATTCACATTCCATTGCGATTGCATATATGTAGCAATGTAATTGGTTCCGTGTCCGATCAAGTCTCCGCCTTCGAGAAAATACGCAAGTCCCCACAGTATGTACCCACGTGGGCTGTCATGTTAGATCTGGTCCTTTTTCTTTATTCCATCTCCAGTCCACTTTTAATTAAATATTCCCTGAGACCAAACAGACCGATCGGCCGTTGGAACCCGCGTTTTCTGGCCCCAGAATAAAATGGAACCCAGCCGGGGATATCGAACAACTCCGTACAGTTGCTCAATAGTCTACCCACTCCAACCTACTAGTCCTACTCATTGAGATCGGCGGTGGCGGTTGTGCTCTGAGCTGGACAGTGTATTAGGTATTCCGTGCTTACTAGCGAAGAAGATCGTGTGATAATCGTGAATTATTGGCTTTACTAAACCTGTAACCGAGAAATGAAGGCTTGGGCATAGGTTATCTTTGGCATATTATGTCTGAAGCGCTAATTGGCAATAATGTCCCGTAATCAGAAGAAAACTCATATCAGAACCAATTAACAGATAACTAGTTGACTCCTACGTTGTAGGTATACCTATGTATACTTGTATAGAGACGATAAAACAAGATACGCCAGCAGTATCTTGTATGTTTCGCAATATTTCCAAACCTGATCCCTTGCGTTTCGGAATTTAAACCCGAGACGTCTTGAACTAGGTATGTATACGGGCATGATTCGTACACGGGAACCCCTGAATAGAAGGTCCTTATCAGCCCAACCACTATATTAAATCTTGGCAGAACTTGGACTTACCTTTAACTAGAAACAGTCTACCGTGGCAACCCTGTCTAATGCGCTGGATCAACAGACTGTGCTCCCTCTAGCTGGAAAAGGACTACGGTGACAGCCTTATTGATCCAAATGGTTCGGGACTATGTCCCGGTATTTTTTGAAATACCGAAAACATACAGCCATCTTGGCAAGGATTTGAGGGTCATTACTTCCAACGGCCCGGGAGGCACAGGAGGACTGTCTCGTGATATAATAGTTTTGGAGCATTGGCTGAACTGAAATGGTATTTTGCATTTTTTCATGCCTTGAATATTCGCCCTTTGTCCTTGTACGCAGATCACTGGAAAACCAGTGATCATGACGGCATCTGTAATAGCACCCATGTCCAATTTACCTACCTATTTGGGCCAGTCGTGGCCCCTCAGTGTAATCTTACCTTTAATTTGGCCTGCGATATTTTGATACATATGGAGTACTTTGCCAAGAAGTTGCCGGGGAAAGAGAGTAATATATTATTCTTTCCGAGAGCAAGCCTCCGATATGGGTGTCTTTAACGCGAGAACTCCGAAGCCAAATGGTATGCCAGGTGCTTTTTCAATATGTCTCGGCCGGAATTGCCAATCCTGAATGCGCTGTGTGAGATCCTACACAAGAATTACAAGACGTGTACAGAATAGCCCCGAGACTATGCGAGAGATGAGCATGTCTACGATGTACATGCTAACAAAATTATATGTTTCTCGGTATCTCTTTTGATATTGCTGTGGCCTATATCATGTCGAGTTTCCGTTCTAGTCACCAAAGCCTCCCCTGGCATATAGCCACTATTGCCTTCACACTCACATGGCTTGGAATCGTGCATTGGAGGCGAAGTGAAAGTGGATCTAATCACAGCCAGATCGTATGTATCCTTCTCTCGAGGATGATTCCACAGTACTTTTGATAGCTAATGTTCAGCTACTTTTTCTGCCAAAGCCTTAAACTCTGAGCACATGATATTGAGAAGCGCAAATTCAGAGTGGGGGAAGAATTCCCTAAGATTGCTTTATTTTTTCGGTATGTCACCCACCATCCAAATCAAGACCCTGGCCTGGGTAGTAGAAAAAAGGAACAGCAGATTGTATCCCATATGATGCAAAATTAAACCGAATTTCAAAGACAGAAACAAACGCCGGGTTGTTCTCTCAGCAGAAAACAGAAAATCTAGAATCCACGTCCGCGACCACGACCGCGGGGGGACCTCCACGGCCTCCACGGCCTCGTGGTCCGCCACGGCCACCACCGCGGCCACGGTCTGTCTCCTTGCGCGCCTTGTTCTTCGGCTTTGGTGCATCATCCACGAGGAGGGTATCAAGGGGAAGGCTGTCGGGGAGGATGTAATAGCGAATCGTGGAACCGCGGATGTTGATAGTGTCGAGAGAAACGGGGTCACGGCCCTTGGGGGTCATCTTGACAGCTCGGAGAGAAGTGTTCATCTGAGGGGAGACGGACACAATAGTGCCGTGAAGGATTGTGCCTGATTGAGGGATCCAAGTTAGAATACAAAGTTCGTTTGCCTATTTCGAAGATTGGCATATTGGGGGGGGGGGGAGTTTAGGTTGGCGTTTGCGGAGATTGCGCGGGGGGTTCTCACCATTCTTCAGCTCAACGGTAACCGTCTCATTGGCGCATTTCATCAAAAATCTAGGAGAATCATTAGATGTCAGCAAGAGTGGTTTTGATGGTGCTTGGTGCGCCAAGCGGAGCTGGTGATTGCCGCGCACAAGAAAGGTGATCACATACCGGACGAGTTTCATGGTGAATCAGTAAGCTGTAAGCTGAGGACCGTCTTAATTTAATATGAACTGTCAAGGCTCCAGCAGATGGCTAAAGATTGTGGGGACAAAAAACGCGTTGGTTTTGGTGATGCTGTTGGACCACAGAGCCAGTGAAGATCTGATCAGGTGAGAGTGATCACGTGACTATTTCGCATTCGATTGAAGTTGCCGAGTTCATATTCGAACCTCTCTACAATAAGTAAACATTGTGATAAGGATATTTATTGAAGCAATGATGCCACAATAAATCCACCAGCATTGTTTTTTCCTCTACATACTAATATGTGACAATACACAACTTAGACCAATCCACCAGTCCAAGTGTTGAGAAATGTCGAGTGTCTAGGCTATCTTAGCAAAAATTGGACCTTTTATCCTTGGAAGCAGATAATTTGACTGGAAATAGCGAACCTCGAGGTGTGTTGCACCCGACGAAGCCCCACGGGTGTTAACGGCTTTTAAGCACTCATAGTTGATATGCAGTTGAGTGGTGTGTCAACATTGCATCGTATCTCATAGGATCAACCTGGGATCAACAGGCATATCATGTTCATATTTCTCCTAATACGTCTTGGTTATTGATCTGAATTCGGGTAGAGTGATATATACAGTGCAGTGCATATGCAATTCTGAGGGTCCCCATCACTTTATCACTCCACCTAAATCTGCCCTCTCTTGTTGGCAAATTGAACATAAGCCCTTCGACAGACTTGTGATTTGCGCCAGCAGAATTAGACAGGAATAGTCGAGTAGCATAGTACATAATGTGAGCAAAGCGTACTAGTTAGTACAACCTTTGTAAAAGTAAATCAGAGCAGATGTAACGATGCCCTCAATCCCGAAGGATGTAACAAAAGCAACCAAATCAATGAAAACCAGAGCGGCATTAAAGACGTTTTATGAGTCTATTCCTCGCCAATTCTGTCATTACAAGATCGCCATATGTCCCGACTTTGAAAGAAAAGTTCAGGGCATGGCCTTATTTCTTACTCCCTACTCCGTCCATGAAGAACAAAATGATCAACCATGCATGATATTATAGTGATATAATAACGGTGATATACACGGATACGTGCATATATAGTGATCTATGATCTCCAATGCAGAAACCGCACATGTGTTTAAGCAAACTGATATAATTGCGGATCCCCTTGTGGAGTGAGCCGATCAGGGAATTTTAGCAAGCGCTTCTAAAGTAGTAGCTTCGGGAACTGACAAATATCTAGGACGCTAAATTAGAGAACATATGAAATTCTGCAAATTACATTTTGTCTTGGCTGTGTTTTTCTGTGACAAGCTCCACCATTCCTTACAGCTTTGCCATTTTGATACACGACTGCCTATGGTCACCCAGCATTCCGGATATTGGTCCCTTTGCAATATAATTCCAGTATTTCGAAGCCAAAACGAACCGAGAACCGGCTACTATGATCCCTGCTAAAACAGGATTATCTGGGGCCGGAAATCTTAGCACTTGCCTAGGGTGAGGGTGTCTAATGCTATCGTTTATGTACCTGAATGTGGACTTCGGTACTTTTGAGTTCTTCTCTTTTAATAATAAAAAAAAAAAAACAAAACATATAACCTCCATTAGGATATCTCTCATGTCGTTCATTAAAATCTCCCTTTTTTTTTTTTTCAACGGCGCGTATGTGGGGGCCAAGACTGATAGGGGACAAGCATCGGGCCGGGGATGGCGGACTCTTGACTTCATGTTACTGAGTTTTTCGTATTGCAATTTTTTTTTCCCTTTCAAATTGCTGGAATTTCAGAGTATCCAGCCACTCGCTAGACCATTGAGAGCGTCATGGCCCCCAATCCGCCCCCATTTCCTATAATGGGGCTAGAAACCAATGCCCAGGCTAAGATTGCCATCTCCCCTGTTTAAGAGGATCATTACTGTACACACTATGGCCCCAGTCGCAATCAGTTCCGAAACCCTTTCCCGCATACCCTCTTGTTTTAGCCGTCATTTGTGGGGGTCAAAAAGCCCGACTTTGGCTCGTGATAGTTATCATCGGCCCACCTCATTTGAAGATCCTGGGATTTCTTTTTTTCCTTCTTCTTTTCTCAATGGATTCCTTAAGGGCCAGAAAACCAATTATCTCCTATTAAAGATGCAAATAAGATGGTGAACAAGCGGGTAGTGGGCGAAAGAACATAGACCCGGTACTGATGCAAAGTGGCGCAAAAGAAATCTAGAAGTTGTTAGTTTTTGAACTTGTGGGCCAGCAAGGCTACCCAACGGAGACCTCTCAGATCATAAAACGATTGCGGGGGTCACTAGTAAACGCCCATTGCTGGATATGGGCTTTTAAATACTTCATCGCGCCCGTTCCGTGCCCCCAATTGAAATCCTCACAAAGCTTTCGACCAATATCAACGGCATACATAATTGGAACAACTGTATGTTGAATTTCTCTTAGTGCCTCTCCCATTATACCCCCATCCTGGTCCCTCCCTTCTATACCTCAAGGCTTGCAATCTCACAAGTCTGGGACTTATATAGTTCCTAATGTTCCCCGGAGGCTCACAGGAATCATTTTCTCCCCGCAGGCAACCAATTCCGCCAAAACTCTCGGACTCGCACTCGAACGTTAGGTCTTTGTCTCCATTAATACAGTCAGTGGAAACTCCGGACTTTTCACAAGGCATCCTTCCTGGACCAGACTCTCACTGGCCCATTCAGCCCATTCAGAGTTCTATCTCTGCTGTGCAAGGGGGGCAATCGACACAAGCATTTGCACTGGCACTCCCCCCACATCACCCAACGACGCTGGACACCAACACGAGTCAGTCTCACGCTCTGCTAGGGTCGAACTACCTACCTACGGGGTCAGAACCGCAGTCTTCTATCGAGGACACTGTCATCAAAGAAGAAATTGGATCGGAAGATTCACTGTACGTCAAGCTAAATCGTGAGAAACAATCCAAGTTCTGTGCTGACTAGGACATCCCCTCAAAAGCGGCCTTGGCATCTCATCATACCCCATGTCAGTGGTATCAGACACTTATTTTGCTGGCCCAATGCAGCCTAATACTCATCGTACGAAGTCTATCCAGGCGTGATTCTAGAGGCGTTTACTGACGCTTTCAGAATATGCGTGGACAAGCCGGCCTTATCAGCCTTTGGAACCCCCACCAGCACAAATGAACCCGCCATTTCCATCTTCACAACCGTCATATCCTTCATCGAGCTATCCGATGGGATACCACAGTCAGACCAATGCGCCAATGCATGGATACCAACAGCAAGAACATCAGTTACCAGCGTCTTATCTCGCAGCACCTGGCAATCCTCCCCGTCACAGTCAGGCTCAAAGGTAAGACGAGTGATTCCCTGACCTTGGAAAAGACTGACATTTCCAATTCAGTCCACCCATCGCCCGTCACTTCCACCCTCGATCTGCTTCGGGCACTCCTCCTCAGCCCGGGCAGCCTCTCATGACTTCGTATGTCAAATGAACCGCTCGAAGTATAAAAGATCCACTGACCTAGTGGCTGACATCCAGTGGTAGTCCTTCTGCTTATATGATAAACCAACCTTCCTACTACTTCCCCGACACATCATCCATTCCGTGAGTTGAGAGTTGATGAGCCCGAAGAATGTAGCCTACTGACCAGAAACCAAAATAATAGATCGCACCCCGCCTCCAACAGCTCTCAACCACCCTCGATGGCCCCCGAGCCAAGTTACTCTTCACCAGAATTGGCTGCTGCTGCAGATTCTGACCATCCAGTCCGAGTACTCAGCTTGCGCCCGCGACCGCAATGCTGGGACCATGGCTGCAATGGTCGTGAGTTCTCAACATTCAGCAATCTCCTCCGCCACCAACGAGAAAAGTCAGGAGTGGTGGCTAAGGCCGAATGCCCAATATGCGGTGCTGTATTTACACGTACGACCGCACGCAATATTCATGTTGCGCAGGGCAAGTGTAAAAGCTCAGGCAGGGAATCATCCGCTGAGTAGATGACATACGCACAATTTTGATTTTCGGCGCTAAAGCGAAGGCACTCTGCTCTAGTGGGACTGGATTCCTTTATTATGTATATATGTTTGGGGGGAGCCAAAGAATTCTCTGAGAGAAAAAGGGCTTTGTCTAATAGAACTTTTTCGTATATACAATTTCTTGGCACCGGATGAATAGCCACGTGATGCTTCGGCCCGTGCAATCGTGAGTCAGTTAAACTGCATCACAGATCATTCAACTCTACAACAATGCCTTATTTTTCTCGAGTGTTTTTAGAAGTGCTTTATCTATCATATCCGTGCCTATTACCAATACCTTTGTCACCAGTCTGAATTGTAACTGTGCCCATGGCATCCATCTTCACCTATGACCCAGACCCACCTCGGGTGTCGTCCCCGTGGTCAACTTCGGGATCATCGACTCCCCAAATCAATGCACTTGGTAGTCGGGGTTTAGCTATCCGCACGCGTCCCAGTGCTACTCCACTACGCGTTGACCCTGACCTGTTATCTAACTATGGAATATCCAAACTGGAGCCGGAGCCCCAAGAGGGTCCCACTGAGTACAAAGTGCACCTTCTGCTTCGACCCAGGCGCCCTTACCTCTCAATGTCGACTGGGCATGTAATAGCGGGTTCGTACCACCACCATTGCCGCATAATTTCAACCGCGTCTATCTCTGCCTCCCCAAGTTTGGAACCAATCCCAAGACCCATGCAAGCCAAGTCTAGCCAGAGCCGCCATCAACGACTACAAGGGTTGACTACCCAGCTATTGTGGCGTTTGCAACAATCATCGCCTTTTCACTCATCCACTACCGCTAATCTTGTGATGCCTGTTCTTCCTGAGGCAGCTCTGGAATTGGGTGTGCCCTCTAAACCCGCCCGCTTGCTTCCCGGTCTTGAAGAGAGCCAAGGTGCCTTGTATGAGATCGGTGTCGGCGATGATGGCACTTTCGTAGGCCTCACGCAAGATGAGTTGGATGAGAGCATGACCAATTTACAGGCTATGGCTGCTAGTCTTGGGTGCAAGGTTGAAATCCTTCGCCGAGTTGTGGTTGGGAATTGTGAATGGACCGAAGACTTGCCATCTGCAACTGCGAAACAAACCAGAAACAACAACAACGAAAGCCTCTGGGTTGCCGAGGCTCTGGTTAGTCCTGATCTTGACTTTTACAATATCTCTCCGATCAAGCCCAAGAACGACACAGAAATTACTGCACACCCAAAATCTGGCAACACATCGGCCTTGGACCAGGATTACTCGCACACAGAGCAGATTCGCATCTCTCTCGCAGGTCCAAGCACTGCAGGAAAGTCTTCTTTGCTAGGTACATTGACTTCGTCTACGCTTGACAATGGCAGAGGAAAAAGCAGGTTGAGTCTGCTCAAACATCGGCACGAAATCTCATCGGGCATCACTAGTTCGGTTGCCCAGGAACTGATTGGGTACACGGATGAGGTGCCACCAACCGTGATCAACTACGCGTCCGGTAATGTTGCCGGCTGGGATGACATTCATGCCACTTCGAAAGGAGGTCGTCTGGCTTTTGTGTCCGATCTACCTGGGTCTGTTCGCTATCTGAAATCTACCCTGCGAGGACTTATCAGCTGGGCTCCACATTATGTGGTGCTTTGCATTCCAGCCAATTGTGGTTCTGAGACACCCGGCAGCGAACAGACAGGAACTGAACAATCAGAAATTGATACATGTTTGTCATATCTAGAACTTTGCCTGAAACTCGAGGTTCCTGTGTTGATTGTCATTACCAAATTGGACCTTGCTTCCCGCAGCGGACTGCGAGACAATCTTGGAAGGGTATTATCTGCGCTGAAAACAGCTGGACGACAACCTGCAATGCTACCTGCATCGCCTGCAGGCGACAAACCACCTGACCTTCAGCAAATAAGCACGTTGGACAGTACCCAAGTACAAAAAGTGTTGACGGCAGCTGACGGGAAATGGGCACACACCGTGCCTATCATACTTACCAGTTCTGTGGATGGCTCTGGCATTGGAAAACTTCATACCTTCCTTCGATCTCTTCCCATTCCCACGCGACCATCTCAGAGAACTCTTCATGCCCCTAAAGGGCTGCCAATGCCCTCTCACAGCTCAGCCAATATCTTTGATGTGGATGAAGTGTTTGCAATCCCTCCCTCAAAAGTTTATTCACTAGACTCGGAGAAGGGCGTCCAAGAAAACCGCGGCGTGGTTCTATGCGGCCTAGTCCGCCGCGGGAATATTTCCATCGGCGACGAAATGGTCATTGGCCCCATCTTAGTGGACGTTCCAAATGACCAAGGCAATGAGGCCCAATTACCCGGAGGGTCATTGTCCCGCAGTGGGCCCGGCTCCTCGGGTGATCTCCCGGCATCTTTCCCGCAAAACTCATTGTCCGGCAAAGATTCACAAGCAAGATGGCAGCGTATCCGCGTTGTCAGTGTAAGAGACCTCAGACTTCCTGTCCGCCGCCTAATTAGAGACCAAGTTGGGACCATCGGAATCGAACCCATTGGGCTTTTGGAGGATGGCCGTCTACCGCGTTTCGGCAGACTCCGCAAGGGCATGATTCTTTCAGACTTCCACGCCCCACTCTTGTGCTCGAATGGCTCCCCGCCTGCTTCCTCGCTATTAGCGCTACCCTTCCACACGGGCTTCACCGCAACCTTCCGCTCTACCGAGTTCTCAGCTCCAAATTCACCTCCACTCTTGCTTGGCGGTAACGCTATCGCGTACATTGCCAACATTCGAGCTACTGTACGTGTCATTTGCATGGCGCTAGCTGGGTCTGGCGAGGAACTATCTTCCGAACTGCCTTCTCCATCCGAGCCTGAATTATTCAGCTTTGACGGCGATTCTCATCCTAGTGAGAAACCAAACGACAATGCTACAATAAACAATAGCGTGGATGGCGCAGGTAATGCAATTCGCGGTCGTCCCTCGGCAACGGACATCAGCAAAGTAATGTCTGGCACTGCCTCTGCCTCCATTGTCGGAGCTGCTTCTTCTGCAGAAGCCCTGAAAGAGGACGTCAAGATTACCTTTGCGCTGGTATCGTCTGTTGAATGGGTGGAACTTGGGTCTCAGGTCCTCGTTATGCCCGGTGTCTCCATGTCGTCTATCTCATCCCAATCTGGGGCCACGGTAGTATCTACACCCAGCTCTAGCTCTGCTTCTGGAACAGCGTCCATGTCAGGGTTAGAAGGGTTTGTGGGGACTGTCTGTGAGGTTGTCCCTGGGAGAGTTCCTGTTACGGAAAGCTAGACCGAATTCTTGTGTGGCATTTGCTGACATACTTCTTTTGTTATTTGTGAGCGTCCTTTTGTACCGTTTAGCCATCTACATGTCTGTTTTTAGTTTTCAGTGTTCAATAGCGGGGTTGCTTTTCATTTGATTCCCATTTTTGCCAATAACTAGAATGAGTCGTTACAAGCTTGTCAAATAGGACGGATTTACAGAACTTCCAATCATTGGAGGCCGAAGAGTGCAATATCATTGTCCTAAGAAAGTGTTGTAGCAATTGAGAATTGAGGTTACTATGGATTGTCTAGTATTCTCGGGTTGAGCGCACCGACCCGCTCAAAGGCAATACAAGAGGCAAATCAGTTGGCAGCAATGCAAACGGTCCAACTTGATGGCAAGCAGATATAGTTTCTTAATAAGGCAGGCCATCCCCTAAACACTAGTGGTCAAGAACGCGTAGTGTCCCGTCGGATCCGCTTTCGAATCATATCTATCCCATTGCAATATCGTTTTTTTTTCGCTTGGGTATTTCCATCAACTTTGTTGATCATGCGCCACTAAGACGCTCGAATCCACGCCAGACTTATCCACAATTTCATCGGAGGACTGCGTTTCTTTATTTGCGTAGGCACATTATCCACCTTTGCGCTGATCGTTAGGGACACTGGGGTGGCGAGAGAATGTGCTAGTTGAGCCGATGGTGGCACTGGCATTGCGAAGCTCAATTTTCTTGCGCTCCATCTCGAGCTAGGTTCCACATCGTTAGCTCCTTTATTTTGCGACTGATTACTTATGACTGAAGTAATTAGACAACTTACCACCTTGCGCACTCGAGCAAGAGCAGCTGTATTGCCTTCCACAATCGAACGACAATCATCAACGCGGTATGGAGCAGCAATTGTCACAGCATCTGCGACGATAATACTGTGGCCGTTCCATCGCGCGGGCATAGTGCGGCTGAAAGCATCAAACAGGTCTTGGGCCTGAGTAGTGACGCCCTTGCCACGACGTGCCTCACGGTCAAGCGCTTCGCCGATGGCCTTTGACTCGCGAGCTTTGAGTGCACGGGCATCGAGTGCCTGAATCGTGGGTTGTGCATCCGTGAACGAGGACGAGGAGGAGTTCGAGGGCGGGGCGAGGGCGAGCAGCTGGAAGTTCTGGATGCGCGAGATGGGAATCACACGGTAGTCGCCGTTCTGTGCCTGTTTGGCGTCACCGGGGTTAAGCGCGGGGGCCGTGTTGATGGCCACAAGGTTGGTGATTGGGCATGCCGTGAACAGTGTACCTTCGAAAATCGATTGGGTTGGCTGCGCGGTTGTAATACGCACGCTAAGACATGAGAACGGAATAGGTCAGCGGTGCGACTATGTATACACCATCGTTGGCAGATAAGACTCACCGGGCACCGATCGCCCCGCTCAGTGCTGCCTCCAAGGGCACTGTAGGTGTCGCCATCCCTGAGCCTACTGCGTTACCAGATTGTTTCTGCGCAGAGGCTTTTACTGAAACCTGGCGCTTATTCTCCGCCATGGACGTATAGCTCTAGCCTCCACGTATGAGCTGCTCGGAGACCACGATAGGCCGATCCCCCCAGTTGAAAGAAAATCCCGTTGACTTTTTGTAGCGCGGTAGTCAATTCCTATATGGGGTCAGGACATTGGAAGCAGATCGGCACAAGATGAAGCTGGCTTGCCCTGCGAGGAGCTATTGCAACCCGGATTGTTGGTGGAGGGTGGGCTGGACGGTGCTGTCAA